ATGTGCGTGGATCCGCGCGGATATATGACGTCAGGATGGCGCAATTTGTTCTGAAAATAGAAAAATTGTCCCATATCATAGGTGCGCGCAGATCCCAAGGCTTACGGTCTCCGTCCCCGATTATGGCTCCTGATTAAATCTCATTGACGAATAGTACGTTTGGAGACCAGCTAGCACTGCTTAGATAAGGGTTTTAGAGCCATCGAAGGATTATTATATTGGTTGCTGTGAGTTACCACATGACTTTAACTTTGTTCTTTATAACACAGTTATCTCTCTTACAGAACGCCCGAAAGTACCAGAGATCGATGTGGTATTCGCTCTAACAGCTACAACAGGAAATGCAGAAGACACCTTTCAGCGCATGAAAGATGCTGTGGAGATTATAACAGACACGTACGGAATATACACGGTGCGTTACAGCTTCATCGTGTATGGTGCCATTCCTAACATCGTTTTTGACTTCAAAACAAACTTTCCCAGCCGTGAAAGCTTGAAATATTTCATTGAGCAATCGCGGAGAGCCACGGGGCGTCCTGACACCAAGCGAACCTTGGAAGAGGCCACGCAGGTTATTAGAGGTTCAAGTGTTCGTCCGTCGGCGAAAAAGATTCTTGTCCTCCTGACCGATGATGCCTCATACGATAATCCTGAAGATGTAGATAAAGCCATTGAGGACTTAAACAAGAAAGGCATTCCTGTTCTAACCTTTGCGCTTGTTAACAATCCCAAAACTGACTTTGAAGTTCCAAAAACCGTAGAACCAGGAGAACTGGCTGAAAAAGTCATGGAGAAGGTTTTAGCTGGTAAGTACATCGGCTTGTACAGGACACTTCTACTAACAACAACAACAACACTAAGAGTAATAACAATTCCTAGTTTTTCTTTTCAGTGGTTTGGTAAACACCGAAAACAGTTCTTCACCTTATTCTTAACATGCAGTGTAGGATACAGAAAAAGCCCGCTTGTAAGAACCTACATTTTATGAAGTCTTGCAAAATAGGTTCTTATATTTTGAGGTAGTTATTGGCAATTTAGGCTAAGTAAGTTCTTATTAAGTTCTTACTTTCTATGAAGGAGACATGGTTGTTGATTACCAGAGAAATACATAAACTTAACTTTGGTTCTTTAATATACAGTATTCATTCACAACTGTATTATGATCAGCCTAGCACAACTGGTTACGGAAAGTATATGTAGTGTCGTCTCTACAACAAGAATTCATAATTTAACTGTAACCCACGTATAAGAATCGTCTTGACCTTGCTTGGCTAAGCAGGTTCTTATATTTTGGGGTATTAAAATGGAAGATTTCTGCCAGCTGGTTCTTAAACCACTAGGTTCTTACACACTGGTTCTTACTGTATTAATCCTGCAACCTTTCGTATGATAAATACGACCTTAAGTACTTCTTCTTTGTTTCAGCTGTGTTGGAACCACCAGAGATAGATCTTTGTTTCGCTATCAGCGCCACTGCTGCTAATGCTGACAGCACGTTCACCTTGATGAAAGAAACCATAAATGATGTCATAGACAACTATGGTATCAGCAAAATCCGCTACAGTGTCATTCTGTTTGGATCTCAAGCCAGGCAGGTCGTAGGTTTCGATTCTAGCATTACGAAACCTGCTCAACTGGAAGCGTACATCCGTTCACTCGATCGACTCAGCGGTGGTTCAGCAATAGACAAAGCGCTGGAGAAAGCGCTGGAATCATTCAAGGCGGGCATCACTCGTCCTAATGCCAGAAAAGTCCTTGTTGTGATCACAGACAACGAGTCAGGGCTCGAATCTGGTGACATTGTGGCAAAGGCCAAGCTCTTGGAGAACAGGAATGTTCGTTTAATCACTGTGGCAGTTGGGGATTCAGCAAGCCAACAAGAGTTGGAATCTATTGCCTCGGATAAAAGAGATGTTTTGACTGTTCCGACATCTGCACAACCCAACGCACTTTCCAAAGATATTATAGTATTGGTTCTAACAGGTAAGACTATTTTACGCCTTTACAACCGATCTTTTACTAACGACCACCTCTCTACAACAGCCAATGTGTCTTTGTGCCCGTCGTTTCGCTCATCGGAGGTTGGCCGTTGTAGAGAAGTTCAACCTGTAATTAGATTTTCGATATATGTAGTCACAGCTACTGAACTGGATAAATCACCTGCTTCCAGACGTTGTTTTCACGGCAGTTCATTGTCACATTTTACATTACAAAGGACAGTCAGCTGCATGTATACGTTTGTATCTGCCTGTTTTCCTTCCTGCTTGTATCCTATTTGTATCGGTTTGTGTGTGTGTGTCTATGTCTGTCTGTCTGTCTGTCTATCTGCCCATCTGTCTGTCTATCTATCTATCTGCCTGTCTGCCCGTCTGATTGTCTGTCTGTCTGTTTATCTGCCTGTCTGTCTGACTGTCTTTCAAGACCTGAATGAAATTCAAATCATACTTTTAGATCGCCCATTGAATGTGCCGAAGCTAGACCTGGTGTTTGCCATCTCAGCCACAAGCAAGGATACAGATGAAACGTTCCAGCTAATGTCAAGCGCCATAGACTCACTTCTCCAGAAATACGACTCAAGTAACATTCGATACGGTGTTCTTGTGTACGGTAATGATGCCACTGTAGTGGTTCACCTTAAAAACCACACGGATGCAGCCCAAATCCAGGAACAGTTGACGACGATGCTGCCATCTGTAGGTGGAACAGCCTTAGATAAGGCTCTGGAAGCAGCTGCTGCTATGTTCGCCCAGGCTGGTGACCGCGAGGATGCGGACAGAGCTTTGGTCATCATGACTGATGAGAGTTCCGGTCTCGATGAAGACGTCGTTGTTGGCGCAACCAAACCTCTTGAACAGATGGCAGTGAAAATTATTCCTGTAGTAGTTGGTGACGATGTAAAACCGAAGGAATTCGACGAAGTCACTTCTAAAGATAACATCATTACGACCAAGAAGGATGAAGATCCGGAACAACTGAGCGTGGAAATCATGGAGAGAGTAATTAGTATGTAATCGCTTAGATTCTCTTTGATTTTATACGAGCGGATTAGGTTTTACTGATTTTCACAGCTGGGTTTAAGATATTGTACATAGAGAACCTCCCTGACAGCTTTTCTTGTAATAGTTTCTCTGTCTAAAAGTGAAGCTAAAACATTCGAAGTTGTTATGAATGTTTGGAGGTACTGCTTTCATCGGGGTCGCAAAAACTGCTTTGAGCAAGTCCTGCCTTCTTTGTGGATATCAAACTTGCTTAAAGTAAGTTTTATAAACAGGCAGCAGCAGTGCTGAAACCTCGGTTTTTGATGTTACGACTCACATGTAGAAGCTGGCTAATATTCCCGTTAGGTATAAAAACTTGGTTCGATTCCCGTTAGGTATAAAAACTTGGTTCGTCTAAACAATGTGTTCTCTGCGTTTTCTTTCACAGATGGAACCCTTCAGCTGCCAGAGACCAACCTGTTATTTGCCATCTCCGCCACAGGGCTTCAAGCTGAAGAAACACATGCATTCATGAAGGACATCATCAAGTGGATCATGGACAAGTACGGAACAGAAAGACTGGAGTACAGCGTCATTGTCTATGGCGGCTCGGCCTCAACACAAGTCACCTTTGGTGAAATTTTCGATTCAGATGCTGAGTTGATAAAGGCAGTCGGCAGCGTGCCTCGAGTATCAGGGGGCCCCTCTCTGGACGAGGCGTTGGAAGCTGCAAAAGATCAGTTTGAAAGTCCACTTATCAGACCAAACGCGGCTAAGGTAATGCTTGCGTGTCATTATTGCTTTAAACTAAAAGGAATACTCTGTCTTAACTTGACGACAACAGTGTTAACATGTTGGTGTCTTCACTAATCAAATGGGAAGTAATTAGGAATCTAGGACTTGTCTCTTATCTTAGGCAAGCTTGTAATATTATTTTTGAAAACGATTTTAATGAAACGTTCGTTCCTTTGCACCAAGTGAGTTGCAGACCTTGATTTTACGACTACTAAAAGCCTACAAATTACTCCAAGCGATGGAAAGGAAGAGAGGAGAGAAAAAATACTGAACGGCTCCTTCGAATTCTTAGATGCTCATTTTTGGCTTTTTAGTCGCGTTCCATGGAAATAATTAAGATTGAATCTATCAAAACGTTGTTAGTGAAAATTTCACCGTTTTGGATGCAATTCGGTCTAAGCGTATTTTACTCTGGGATATTTCCTGGATATACTTTTTTCTAGGTTCTAGTAATCATCACAGACAAATCATCTGGCAAAAGCCCGCAGGACATCAGAACAGCGGTTAAATCCCTAGAAACAAATGGAATTCGTGTGATCGCGGTGGCTGTTGGGAAGGAAGTGGACTCCAATAAAGAAAAGGAAATACCAACAGACGGAGACGTCATCGAGACTGATAACAAAAAAGATCCCGGATCAGTAGGACAGAAGATAGTAGACAAAATTGCAAAGGGTAAGGTTGTGTTAATGTTAGTTCATTTTGTGAGTTAACTGTCTTCGGGAGTTAATTTCGATCTGTAACGATGATAAAAATTAAAATTGTTCTCACTTGAAATAACGTCTAGTACTGACTTCATGATATTTCAACAATTTTATACAGGAATTCCTCGTTGCTCCAAGATTTATCTTGCAAAATTTCTAGACAATCTTGGACCTCGTGAGTCACACGTTTTTAAGTTTTTAAGATCGTCCATAAAGAAATCAAGTTTCATCTCAATCGGGTTACTTTTTACTTGTGGAGTGTCCATCAGTGCTGCTCTTAAATTCACTTTTGGATTTCCACGATCTCAGCAAATTATGTTCAAAACAGATACCAATGCCCATTATAAGCTTGTACATTTTCTATGGACTTGAACGTTTTTTTCCCACTTTCCACAGGTGAGGCTCCCATACCAGAACTGGACCTAGGATTTGCCATTGCGGCAGGTTCACTGGATGCTACAGAAACATTCAAACTCATGAAGGATACCATTGCAGCGATCATCAGTGAATACCGATTGGACAAAATCAACTATGGGCTTATTGTGTTTGGGGACGCTGCAACCATCCAGATCCAATTTGGTGAATACTCTAACGTCAATAATCTGCTGCGGGACTTGCGTTTTATTCCAAAGAAGAGACGCGGGGCTTCTTTAGTTGATGCCCTGAGAGAAGCAAACAGCTTGTTCTCGTCATCTGATGTCCGTCCTCATGCTAAGAAGGTACTGGTGGTGATCACAGATTTAGCATCAGGAGAATCGTCATCTCAAGTAGGCGAGGCAGCAAGGCCATTACAGGACAAAGGTTTCAAGATTGTTGCTGTGGCTATTGGCAAAGAAGCTGATCCAAAGGAGTTGGAAACATTCACTCTAGTGGATAAAATAATTGAAGAAGAAACGAATGTGCAGCCCACTGATCTTAAGAAGAAAATTATGGATAAGGTTTTCACAGGTTGGTTTGCTGCAAATATTACGATTTTTATGTTTGAAATTGAGCACTAAGATAGATCATTGAAAAAAAAAAAAAACACCAAAACAAACAACAAAACACTAGTGGTTGGTAGAATAACAGCATTGCATAGATATCCCCAAGTTCATCGTTTAGGATCCGGTTGGAACCTTGAATTTTTCAGACTTTTTTTGACAATTTGCGTGAATCGGAAAAAGAACTGTCATGATGTCTTACTCATTCCGCAGCTCATTTGATTTCATCCATGCACTTCCCCTGTCATGTTTTACTCAATGTTACTAAATTATGACTTGTACATATTTAGTTTGATAACGTCATTACCTTGACAATTTTGTGATTTGTTTTAATTCAAAGAAACTCCAACATATCCCGAAATGGACATTGTGTTTGCCATGAATGCGAACTCTGGAGACGCGGATGTTATTTTCGCTCTCATTACCGACACTGTCCGGAAGATCATGAACGACTTTGGATTTGGAAATGGTAATATTCAGTATGGTGCCATGGTGTATGGAGCCACAATAGGAACTAAGCTCCAACTGGGAGATCCTTCTTTCAAGAGAATTAAAGACCTCAGGGATTACATTCAAAAACTATCCAAACAAACCAGTGACCCACAGATCGATAAAGCACTCCAAGAGGCTTCAAAGATTTTCCAGGGACCTAACGCTCGCCCGGGCGCTAAACAAGTTCTCATTGTTTTGACTGATAAGAAGTCGACATCCAGTGAGGAGGTCATCAAAACTAGTGCCAGACTGCTAGAAGACAAGAACGTCCGGGTGATTCCAGTGGCTGTTGGTGGTGAAGCGGATCCGGACGAGCTAAGAATTATCACTCCTTATAAGGGGGATGTTATAAAGACAAAGAAAGACCGGGAGCCTTGGAGATTGGCGCGTGAAATAATCATCAAGATTTTAACAGGTATGGAATGCTGTGTGGTTTAAAAAGGGAAGAAGTTCAGCGACTATTCTAGAATGCCTAGCCGAGAGTCAATTGGCAAGAACTACTCTGTGCTTCTGTGGTATGGAAGATGTGACAGTAACAAATTTCAAAATTGCCCTGAACATTTTAGATACAATGTGGTAATAAGGTCATTCAAATTAGAAAAGTGTGTAAAAAGGTACTTAAAGTGACATTGTCAAAAGTGAGCAATACACATCGTTGGAAACTGTCCATAGTGTTTTCGTTTCTGATTTTCCAAGAACGTTGTAAACGCTGCTCCAAAAGGCCATGTTCGTAACCCTCGAGATTGTGTTTGTACCAAGACGCGAACAGTAAGATAAAGTAGCCCACAATAGACGGATTCGGCTAAGGTGTTTACATCCTTGTTGCCACCCTATTCAGATCATGTGATGATTCATTTGGGAGGTTACAATTGTTCTGTTTGTACATACTCCCATGCAACCAGTTGCGTGTAGCAACACAGTTTTAACCTCCCAAATGAACCATCAAGTGTTCTGAATGATGTAAACACGATAGCCGAATCCCTCTATTGCTGACACACATGACTCATCAAACAACTGATTGATCTTGAGTCACAATGAATACTTATATTGAGACCTACATAAACGTATGAAGGTAGGCTCAAGTTGTATTAAATGTCGCAAATGTGTTCTATCTTTCACTTGTTTTAACGTGTCTCGATACAGTTTTTCCTGGACGCACCAAGCATTTTCAATTAGCTTTTTAACAGGCTTCCCTAAATTGGATCGATATGAAAATTCCACCAATATTTGGAAGTGCATCGAAGTTTGGTATAATGGATTTCTCAAGACAGTCGATATTTCCATGAAAACGATAAACCAAAAAAATTGAAAGTAGGTAAACATGACTTTTTTGCAAACCAGATGTGATATGAAAAAGCTAATGCCAATGGCTTAAACTATCTTGTATGGCAAGAAGAATATACAAGAACAAAAAAATTTTGTATGTTTGAACACGAGTACCAAACTTCAATCCATTTCCAAATACTGGTGTAATTTTTCTATCGATCTGATTAAGGGAAGATTGCTAAACGGGAGAAACTCTATCGAGACGCCTTACATGTATATGTTTTGTCGTTTCAGAACCAACAGAGATCTCTAAAATTGACCTTGCTTTCGCCATTGGGGCTGCATCACGTGATGCATCGAATACCTTTCAGCACATGACAGACATCATCAAAAGTATCGCTCATGAATATGGCACTGACAAGATTCATTATGGACTTATTACGTTTGATACTGAGGCCAGCATCGAGATACCGTTCAGTAGCAATATCGACTCCACTGAGGCTCTGAAATCCCTTATCGATGTCATACCAATGGACACGGGTGGCCCTGCTATAGATAAAGCTCTAGAAGCAGCGAAAACGCTCTTTGGAGGCGACGGAGTTCGTTATGATGCTCAGAAAGTTCTCGTGTTGATGGTTGACAAGAAATCGAGTGGAGTTGAGGAAGCTGCGATGAAGACAGCGATGGAGTTAACGGAGAGTAGAGTTATCATCATCGCAGTGGCAGTTGGCGTCGAGACTGATCAAAATGATTTGAAGAACATCTCGTCAACCCCTGGCAATGTAGTAAACACAAATACTACTGAAAAACCAGATGAAGTTGGAAAAGAAATCATCGATAAAACAGGTAAAGAAGTTGTAGTTAGTACACTGTTAAGGAATTAGTCACACTGCTGTACCCAAGATGAACACCACATTACAAGCTGAGGGCCTCAAGTTTATCAGTAACTTAAGTTACTGTCACGGGTCACCCTCATTAAATAAAGTCTTTCACTTCACTTCAATGAGATGCTTGCAAGCAGCGCCCGCGATTACATGAATATGATTTTCAGGCTAATAAGGTGCGTTATCGCATTTGTTGTTTTTGACGACCTTACAAAATTATGTTCATTGGGTAGCAACCCTCACAAGGTAAAAACATAATTAATAATGATAGACGAATACAGAACGATTGAGGTACACTGAAACAGTTTGTGAACGACGACTTTGAAGGCGTCAAGCCACTTCGTGTATTTCGTTTGACGGCTTCCTGTACTTTTGTTGGCTCATTTACATGTCTAATGTGTAAAAATGGTACTGTCGTATTGCAAAAGGTAAACAAATAATTGCTTGAGGCAAATTTTTGGACCATCTCGCTATTCGTCAGAGACATTTAAGCCAGGTGATCACAGATGGAGTCAAAATCTCGCTGACTATGATGGCAAAAACGATATTTCTGACTTCTTTTTAGATCCACTGAAGGGAATAAACATCGATGTAGGCCTGGCCATAAGTATGACATCCCAAGACGCTTCAAAAACAATCCAGCTCATGCAAGATTCCATCAAGTCAATCATTGACACCTATGGAACAACCAACCTTCGCTACAGTGTAATGACTTTTGGTGACGGTCCAAAGGTCTTAGTCCCATTTGCGGAACGGTCACCTGACGATTTAAAGACGATAGTAGAGTCTGTGATGCCTAGTTCCGGTACACCAGATTTAGCAAACGCGTTATTAGAGGCGAAGAAACTGTTCGATGGAGCGGGTGCTCGGCCAGATGCCAAGAAAATCCTCGTAGTCATCATAGACAGCAAGTCAGGAAATGAAAAAGTCGACATCATTGAGGCTGCCAGACCGCTGATTACTTCAGGATGTTGGATAGTTCCTGTCGCTGTTGCTGTGGAGGACAAAGGGACTATTGAAGAGTGTGGGTTCCTTACTCCTCTGAAGAATACAACTGTGGAGGTGCCGAAAACAGGGAATCCCGATGGAATAGCTAAGGAGATTACAGATAAAATGAAGGAAGGTAAATACCTGTTTTGTAGTTACATTAAAACCGTGAACATTATTATAGGAACCTAAGTAATCAGTCTGGCCAATCAACAACAATAACAACAACAACAACAACAACAAAAAGAACTTTATTTCCCCTCGGAGTTAGAAATGACAATGTTTTGCTACAGTAAAAATAAAAATGATAGGGGTGCTGGCTACCCGAAATAACGTAAGAGTTAAAAATGCCACGCAGCCAGTTAAAAGAAAAGTTATTTTACATGTTTCACAAAGGACACCGACGATCCAATGAACCATTCAAAACTCATAGTAAATACATGTAGCCGGCGAGAAGCGCGGGAAAACGTGTGCGAGCGAGTTATGATTGGTTTTCCTTTACTTCTGATTGAATCAAAAAGTGGCGCGAATATTTTTAAGCCAATCGTGTGGCGAAAATGCCACGCCAGTTACTTTTCGACACTCAAGTGGAAACTCTCTGTCTTCAGTGGCGGATCTAGGGGAGGGGCCCGGGGGGCCTGGGCCCCCCTTATTTTGGGTGAAAACAAGAAGAAATGACTGAAGGAAGAAAAGCCGGCAGGGCAAGTAAATCAGTGGATCCGCCACTGGTCTCTGTTTTGAAAAACTAACAGTTGTCTACTATTCACCAGCAGTGAAACTGGTGTGTGTCCTGTTACAATTCAGGACTGCATTAAGCGGCAATCGGTTTTATTTATGATGTAAAAGTTACATAAAAATCATTATCGTTTATTTCAAATCATTTGAAGACTTGAAGCGAAACGCGCAGTACGTTGTTAGGTGCTTTCCGGACTCTCGAGGAATCTCTCTGTTAGTTTTCCAAAGTTCTCTGCAAAACAAACTGAGAACAACTTCAAGTACAATTTATCAACATTGGTTGCTTCAACATTTCCTCCTCCAGTAGAAAATTAAAGCAAATGCAAACGAGTGAAAGAACTTTTGGCTTGTTAAGAACAGTAAACACAAGCGCTTGAAGGGTGATACTGTAAGACTGCTAGTGAACACTAAACATTAACTGTTTTCGTAGAAAAGATTTTAACCCTAAGGCACAAAATAATGAATTTACTGCCGTTTTTATTTTTAGTTATCGTAGAACCAATACCGCCTGAAGTAGATCTGGGATTCATCATATCTGCTGGTTCGACTGATGCTTCAGCAACCTTGCAACAGATAAAGGACGTTATAAAATCATTCATTTACAAATATTCCTCGGACAGACTTCGGTATGGCATCATCTCGTATGGAAGTACACCACGCATAGAACTCACCTTGCGTGACAGCGTAAACCCGGATGTAACACAACAAGTAGATGCAATCCTCAGACCTGGTGGCACTCCAGACTTAGCCAGAGCACTGCAGCTTGGTGAGAAGCTGCTCTCGTCCGCTCGACCGAATGTTCAGAAAGTACTGGTTATCATCACGGACGTCAAGTCAGGCAGCTCTCTGAGCCAAATCAGGCTTGCAGTCAAGTCCCTCGATAACAAAGACATTCGCGTCTTTGCCGTGGCGGTTGGAAGTGAACTGGATTCTACCGGGCTTTCTACTGCCACTGGATCTAGTAAAAACATCATAAACAGTTCAAATACTGATGAACCAGGAAAAGTCAGAGAGGAAATAATGACGAAAATCAGACAAGGTAAACGTAGCGAGATGCCTTTATTCAAGCTGTGATCTCAGTGAAATGACTATAGAAGGCAGCCTGGCTGAGTGGTCACTGCGTCGGACTCGCAATCCAGTGGTCACGGGTTCGAGTCGCGCTCAGGCCACTACCTGGATTTGTTTCTTGGTAGCCACGCGTTAAAATCCTCGGCCACGCTTGTAAATAACCAACTGGTTTGCCTCCGGCTAGTTGGGATTCTAAACAATGTTATGTTCAATTTGAATCATTTGTTTCAGTTGTTTGCTTGGCCCCACTAGCCTTTGTGCTATAAACACTACCGAGAGGAAATAAAGGTTACATGTATACATATATACACACTGGGCCACACCGTGTTGTCAAAAAAGCGTTATTGCTTTCTACGCAACCGTCACAATCAAGTGACCTTGTTTGGTAGGCAGTGAAATGCCTAAACAAGGGATTGATGTCTACAAATGCCTGCGATTACAAAATTACTCTTTTACTAAAAGGGACAAAGAGGGGTATGATGCTAAGACAGATATGTAGGCTTTTTCACTTTTGCAAGTTTAACTTTGCTGGCCTTTGTTACCAAGAGCTACTAGAGGTCGATCCAAATTTGGTACTAAGTGCAATACGAAGCCCTCAGATCACTTTTTATCTTCTTTATTAGCAAAACCAGTACAAGATGTCGACGTTGTTTTTGCCATCAGCGCCACGGCAAGTGACGCACAGCAGACCTTCAGTGTCATGAAAAAAGTCATCAAGACCATCTTTGAAAAGCATGGCGTTGACAGCATGCGACCTGCGATAATTGTGTTTGGAGATGCGGTGTCTGTGAGGCTAAGCTTTGACGAGGAAGTCACCGAGCTGGATGAATTGAAGGAACGCATTGAAAACTTACCGCGGAACACAGGTACACCAGACTTGGATGCAGCACTGGTAGAGGCCAATAGACTCCTTGCGGGGGCTCGTCCAAATGCCAAGAAAGTGTTGGTAATTATCACTGATGATACATCAGACAGCAGGCCTTGGGAAATTAGAGCAAACGCCAGGGAACTTGAAGAAGGAGAGATCGAGGTTGTTCCTGTGGGCATGGGAAATGAAGTGGATCTTAATCAGCTAGAGCACACAACTCCGCACAAAGACAACTTAATCACTGCAGACAGAGAGGACGATACGGATGATCTTGCAGAAGAGATACTGGAGAAAATACTAAGAAGTAAGTGCCATTTTTCTTAAGATGACACTATTTGGAATATACAGTTCAGGAACATGGAAGATGATTGAGGGGTAGCATAAATGATAAACGTGTTTTAAAAAAACACGGGGGGCAATGTTCACTGGGAAGAGCACTGCATAGTACTACATGCTTGGAAACGTGTTGTATTTCATAACGTTATCCTAGTTCACAACCGTTTGTTTATTAGCCCAAAACGTTAAGAAATCAATAGCATTCCCTTGCGTAAACTCTGGACAGTTAGCAGGTCTATAGTGTTGGAATAAGCCGAAAATTAAAATATGAAGAAAAACGAAGATAAGCGATGTATCTCTTGACGAATGACATGTATATAACTCATTAACTGCTTCAGGACAATTACTTTGTTGTTGTTGTTGTTGTTGTTGTTNAAACGTGTTTTAAAAAAACACGGGGGGCAATGTTCACTGGGAAGAGCACTGCATAGTACTACATGCTTGGAAACGTGTTATATTTCATAACGTTATCCTAGTTCACAACCGTTTGTTTATGAGCCCAAAACGTTAAGAAATCAATAGCATTCCCTTGCGTAAATGCTGGACAGTTAGCAGGTCTATAATGTTGGAATAAGCCGAAAATTACAATATGAAGAAAAACGAAGATAAGCGATGTATCTCTTGACGAATGACATGTATATAACTCAGTAACTGCTTCAGGACAGTTACTTTGTTGTTGTTGTTGTTGTTGTTGTTGCAGTTGCTGCTAACTGTGTGTTATGTTTGGTTTTTACCAGAGAGGACAATGCTTCCCAAGATCGACTTGATGTTTCTTCTAAGTTCGCAATCTTCAAAATCCTTCAAAACATTTCCATACATGAAAGACGTTGTAACGAATATCATGCAGAACTATAGCACTAATCAGATTCACTATGCTGTTGTCCTGTACGGAAATGAACCTTCTGTTGTCCTGAAGTTCTCTGATGGCATCACAGACCCAGATCAGCTTGTGGAGTTGGTGAGCTCAGCATCAAACATTCCAGGAGGATCAGCATTAGACAAAGCATTGCAGAAAGCAAAACAACTTTTCACCGACGATGACGCTGTGAGACCAGATGCAAGACAAATACTGGTTGTCATGACGGATGATGAATCATCTGGAGATAAGGAAGTTGCTAAAGGAGTTGCTCAGGACTTGATCGACAATCACGTGACAATCATAACTGTTGCAGTTGGAAGTGAGGTTGATTCCAATGAATTGGGAACTCTCACGCCAACTGATGGTGATTCAATGAACACCACCTCAGACGAAGATCCGGAAAAGACTAGTGAAGAAATTATACGACTAATAGCACAAGGTACGTTTTTATACAAAGGGTTGCCACAGGTCAGGAATGGTCAGCGAAAAAATTCTTCGAGGTCAGGGAAAAGTCAGGGAATTTTATTTTGAGCCAAGGGAAAGTGACTTTTTGAAGAAAAGTCAGAGAAAGTTGAAATTATTTTACAGGGCAGATTTAATACCATTGACGGCTGGGAAACACATTTGGAGTCGCTGTGATCTCAATGATGTGTTTCCTTATCAGGGACAAGTCAGGAGATTTTGAAAAGTGATGTCTGTGGCAACCATGTATACAGCGTAGTTATATGGGGGGGGNAACGGAAGCAAAGGAAACGTTTGATTTAATGAAAGAAACTTTACTCTCCATTGTGGCAACACATGGCATGAAGAACATCCATTACACCGTCATGACATACGGCTCGATAACAAGAACAGTTCTGGACTTCCAAGATACATTCCCAGATGAACAAGCCTTGTTGAAGAAGCTTGAGAGCCTGTCTACTGTCAGCGGTACGCCTGATTTAGATCTTGCATTGGCAGATGTGAAGAAGGCGTTTGAAGCACCCGGAGCTCGGCCAGATGCAAAGAAAGTTCTTGTTTTCTTGGTGGACAGTAAGTCAGGGAGCAGCGAAGAAGACGTCTTGAAATCTGCAATGGCACTGGAAGAGTTTTGGGTTAAGGTTATTCCGGTTGGAATAGGAAGCAAAGTGAATCGAGAGGAAATAGAAAAGACTACTCCGCTAAAGAAAAACATCATTGAAGTGCCAACTCAAGAGAATCCAGAGAGACTTGGCAAGAAAATTATGAAAAGAGTGAGAGAAAGTGAGTAAATTGTTCACTTTTTTCTGTATGTAGTTAACGTTTCTTATGTTTTCTATTACCAACTTCTAATCGAATACCGCTAGAGGTATAAGCCCTACTATCTAGTTTTCTTCAAAGCTAGTCAGTTCGTGAAGTTTTCCGTGGTACCAGGGACAAGTTGTCGCATCCACTGGCTTCTCGTTGTTGTCATGACGAAGTGTAAGTAACTTACCGTCACCTTACATAAGATGACGATTGAATCAATACTTCCCTGGATATTCAGGGCGCAATTCAGTGTGTTTATATATCACAGATAATTCTTCTCTAAATCTTAGAGGATGAATATTATCGAACGATACGCTTTCTTCCTAGTCAAAAGCTTTTCTATATGTGGCCAAATTATGCTGTTTAACAATGCTTCGCCGCCTTTTTTTCACAGATCTGTACCTTTTACCAATCCCAGAAGTAGATCTCGCAATTGCAATCAGTGCTGCATCAGTGAAAGCGGATGACAACTTTGAGAAGGCAAAGGAAGTGATAAAGTCAATAATTGACACATACGCCATGAATAAACTTCGTTATGGTGTGATTGTATTTGGCTCGAAAGCCTCGATTAAAGTCAGCTTTGGCGACGATTTTCCTACTGACGAAAATCTCAAGAACGTGATCACTATCCTGTCTGGCTCAAACGAACGTCCTGATCTAGACGAAGCCCTGAAGAAAGGAAAAGAATTGTTTGACGACGCGCCAGAGCGTCCAAATGCATGGAAAGTTTTGGTATTAATCACGGATGTGAAGTCGACTAGCAAGCTTGTTGATGTGAAGGCAACTGCAAAGATGTTGCAAGATGATGGAATTAAGGTGATCCCGGTAGCTATTGGAGATGAGGTTGACCGTGTGGAACTTGAAGAGACTACCTCCGACAAAACAAACGTTGTGAACGTGACGACTGATGTCTATGTAATAGTTTTGAAAGAGAAGATTATGTCCAAAGTTTTCAAAGGTAAATGCAGAGAACTAACAATAAATAAAACGGATGGGTGACCCTCGAAGCGGGACGCTTAGGCAAAAAAAAAAAAAACAAAACAACAAAAAAACAACAACAAAAAAACAATTCCATTATTGGCAGAGTACAATTGCGAGGGGTTTTGCTTTGAAGTCCATTCCAAGCAGAAACCGTATATTTCACTGAAAGACAACTGAAGTTAGAAGTCATTGATTAGTTGTTTCCATTCTGTAGTAGTTTGGTTTTTGTTTATTAAGTGGCCCGGTTACACTGTAATCTTATTTCAAAATCACGTAAGGGTAATGTTTTTACACTGAATTAAATGAATGAATACCGTTAAATTGTTGGGTCTGAGGCTAAGGTGATACACTCAAGTTTTGCCAGCCGATCATTTCAAGGTAGGTTTTTGAGAAATGATAGCTTCCTTGAGTCTATAGCTCTCTACTTAGGTTTGTAAAATTCAAGCATTTGGCAAATTTTTAATGTAGAAACATTATTTGGTTCAAGTGAGGATTATTGAATGCATAAAATGTTTTTCTTGCCTAAAGTATGTTTCTTATTTGTTATAATTTTCAGAAATGGATGAAGATGAACATGACTTTGTCATCGCAGTGTCTCTTAATGCACAAAACATGCCGTACTTCAGAAAAATGAGCCTGGAACTTTTGGACAACCATCCAATTAGCGAAGCAGGCTACAGCTTTCTCACCTACAACTCTCGAGTCAGAACAGTCAATACTTTCCAGAAGATATATTCTTCAGATAGTCAGGTCAAAAGCGTTATCAAGAAACTTCCTTCACGAGTTGGTAGAACTTCCAGACTTGACCTAGCGCTCGCCGAAGCTAAGAAGCTGTTTGCAAATGGATCTGGTAGTCGACCACACGCCAAAAAGGTTGTTATCATTTACACTGACCAAGACCAGACTGGAGATGCTGCTGCAGGCAAAACGTCCAAGGCGATGGAAGCAGAGGGCATTCAGATTATCTTTGTGGTTCTGAAAATGAGGTACGTTCCTCCGATCTGTGAAGTGGTCACCCCAAATAAGGAGAGTTGCATTCCAACAACAACTGAAGAACCTAAGAAGACTGTGGACAAGATTGACGAGGTGTTGAAGAAAGGTATGTTGGGAGTTGATAAGAAGGTTAGCTGTTCGGAGGTGTAGCAGCTTCCGTAAGCTTTGTTTTGGGGCTAGGGGCAGTGTTTCTGTTGTTTGTTGTATTGTCCTCTCAAAGCGTATCAGGCCATTCATGCGAGATCCTGCGAGAGCCACTGCCTTAGTAATAACTGTAGATCTGCCTTGATGTTTTGGTAAATATTCTATCAAACACAGCACAAGATCTAGAACCGAAAGAAACATTTGCGGTTTAGGACTTCAGGCCGAGTGTTTGTTTATTGTGTTGGTCCATGGGTGAGAATAATTGAGTACGACTAGTGTTTTGCGACTTGTTGAAAAATCAACCAAGCAGACGAACAAATTTTATTTTAGAACCAAACGGGTACTTTTTAATTGACCGTGAAGATAAATTCGTTCAGTTATGTAGAGTATAAACCACGGATTTGAGTTACAGTGGTGCCATATAGCTGTACCCCTGAAACACGTCACAAAATTAGAACCATCATGGCTATTTTGTAAGTACATATTTTTGCATTTCAGGTCTCAAACCAACCCCAGAAATTGAGCTCTGCTTTGCATTCAGTGCGACAGGCACCTATCGTGGCACCACATCGAGGCTGATGAAAAACACCGTAGCTGCAATCATTCGGAAGTACGGCAGCGTCAAACTGCACTACTTGGCCATCGTGTTTGGAACCCAAGCCAACACCGAGATCAGTTACAGAAATCAAAATCTAAATGATGAAACCCTTATTTCTTTCATTCAGCGCATACGACAGCCTCCTGGAAGTCCTAGACTCCATGTGGCTTTGCAAGAAGCGAAGAAGGCGTTCAACGAGGTTCCCAGGAGACCTGGGGCAAAGAGAGTCCTGGTGGTGTTGATTGATAACGAGTCCGTTGGGGATGATGACGACATGAAAAAACTCCAGGCTGCCAAGGAGTTGTATGGAGGCGATGTTATTATTATTCCTGTGGCGATTGGCGTTGAAGCAGATCTTGATGAGTTGGAAGTAATAACTACGCGTAAAGATAATCTTATTGAAGAGTTCAAAGATGTTGATCCAAAAGAACTCGCCAAGCAGATTATGGAGAAGACCTTCGGTGGTAGGTCATTAATCATATCTTACATTAAAGAATAGGGACTTTAAGCAAATCGCTACGGCTGGCTCTGATACGGCTGCCGGAAGTAAATTTCCCCCAAAATGAGACAGTGCGCATGTACGTCGGTTGCATCCAGCCGTAGCGTGAAATCTGACTACGTGAGTCGGGATGTTTAGCCGTAGTGGCTACTACGTCGGGTTTATTTCGCTTCTCTGGCCCTTTTCAACGGACATCTCGGCATCTTAAGAATTCCATTGGATACTATATCCTTTAAAGTCAAGTTAACTCAAAGAATGTGTCAAGGTTGCCTCTCATAAGCTTGTAAATCCGTATCCTGAATTTACGATAAGTTTTGGNTTAAACTCCTTAGCCGATGTTTCTTTCATCTTTGTATTTCGCTTTACTCGCTTAACTTAAAATTTGGCAGACCACCGAGACGTACTCTCCCCAGACCTTTTCAGTCACGGCAGCCGCAGTAGTGCCAGTCGTAGTGATTTGCTTAAACTCCCTAATGTGATTCTGTATGGGGTTTGGCAGCGTTGAACATTAATGAACCGTGAGCTTCACAGCAATTCGATTCAAAAGCAGAAAATTGGTAGAAAATTGTAAAGGTTTCTGTTTTGACGTAATTTTGGTGCAAGTCAGCAACGCAGGCAACTGTTTATAGTTAATAAAGTTTCCTTAGCCATTCTGTCCTTCCATTACGTAGTACATAGTTTTTTAAATTACATGTAGATAAACTTGCAGTGGATCAAAGAACGAACTTGTTGTAACCCTTTGCCCCCTTACAGTTATAGAAGAACCACGTATACCTGAAACAGATATCGTTTTTGCAATCTCTGCTACATCCGCGAAGTGGCGTGACAACTTTCAGCAGATGAAAGATACCATCACGTCAATTCTGGACACGTATTCCATGGACGTGATCCGAGTGGGCGTGGTAGTATTTGGAAGCGACACAGAAGCTGCGATTTCTATTCAAGAAAATACAAACAACAATGTTCAAACTGACGTTAAAAGGCTCTTCCCTAAATTTGGAGTCCCGGATTTAGACAGCGCCCTCAGTGAAGCAAGGAGAGTCTTTAAGACCAGTGGAAGGCCCGATGCCAGGAAGGTTGTCGTGGTGATATCTGACAGAGGTTCTGACAGTAGCTATGGTGACGTCAAGGCTGAAGCAGATCGTCTTACAGAAGATGATATTATGGTGATTAGTGTTGTCATTGGGAAGGACTCTGACCCTAAAGAATTGGAAGAGTTTACTCCTCATGAAGTGACTGAAACTACTACAGATGAGGATCCAAAGGAACTTGGCAAGAAAATCATTATACTAGTTCTAAAAGGTAAATAAATGTTACGTGGGAAAGGGAAGTGTAGCATTGTGTAGAGTGGCAAAGAGTAAACTGGTAAACTTTGCTCAGAAAGCATATAGCGTTAACAGTGGTAACCTAGACCACGGGTCGCAAAGTGTTCTCACTAAGCGCAGAGGAATACTTTGATGCCGATAGCCTACAATGGCCTTGATAATTTCAGTGAAGACGTTTTGTAGCTTTTTGTGTTAGAACCAAACTGCATGAAAAATAAGCAAAAGAAACGAATACACAATGAGCGTGAGAATTATTTTGACGTGGACTTCTCAGTCTATAAAAGGAATTACTAATCAATTGTGAGGTAAATATGATACTTGACCATTCGTTGTAGTATTATCAACAGTTGTCTTGTCCAACACAGACCGCATATTATTCACTTCCCGGTCCGTTCAATGTTATGTATGATTTATCATCATCATATAAAGAATTTAATGATCATGGATTCCTCTGTTATTGGATGACAATGATTCATTGAGGCTATAATACTTAGACCTGATACACCACCACGTGATTCATGTTATTGTGAATTGTCTACCTACAGAGCCAAAGGGACCGGAAGTAGACCTGGCATTTGCTGTGAACGTCGCCCAACAAAACCTCTAACTTTTCAAAGAAACGTTTCAAGGATTGATCGATCTTTATGGTGTGGGCCGCGTTCATTATGGCTTCATTGTATTTGGCTCTTCAGCAGTGATAAAGCTCCCATTTACAGATCAGGTCACAGAGCAGTCAAAGCTCAAGAAGTCTGTCGATGATGCATTGTTATCGACCGTCAGCTCCCCGAATCTGGACAGGGCTCTAGAAGAAGCAAAGACGCTGTTCCGAGGTTCAACGCGGGGCCAGGCGAATAAGATACTGGTTGTAATCATGGATAAATTATCACCAAGCGAGCCTACGATTGTAAAGGTAAACGACATTTCATTGTTTTCCTTTTGAAACGGGCACAAGTTTTGCAGAGCGGGAGATGCGGGGTTTCAATGCTGAGGAAGACGGAGCTGATGTATAGTTGACGATCTACAAAAACAACAACTTTATTCACTCGTACATTTACAGTATTTACATATAGGGTTCTCAAACTCATTAATAATTAATCAAGTTAAAACGAAGAAAATCACAAGCGTGATGGAGGTTTGGATACCCGGTCTTAACAGACCAATTTCGATGTATTAAAATTCAGCCTAAAACAATAGAGCTCAGCACGAGGATCTGGGGAATAAACCCCACAAACTCTGTAGTTATTCTCCAGAGCCTCGTGTTGAGGTCTATTGTTTTCGGCCGAATTCTAATATATCGAAATTGGTCTGTTAGGATAGATGTTGACGATTTTACTTTCCGTTTACTCCTTAGTTTTTGTTTCCATCAAGAGGATATATCAAACACTCGAGACAGTGTTTCATCGGCTGTCCAAACACCTCGAATTGCGTTAAAAATACTCCGCTGCGCGTCGTATTTTCAACTCTCTTCTCGGTGTTTGGATAATCCGATGAAACACTGTCTCTCGTTTTTTATATATTACATGTGTATTTATAAATAGAAGGACAGAAAGATTATGTACATTTAAGCCTGGAGGCTGAAGTAACCCGAACATTTTCTTGTCAGTCTCCAGTTATTGTAATGTTTCTAAAGATATTTAGGAGAATACGGAACTCTTCAGAGAAGCGACATGTACCTGGTATAATAGAATGGAGAGAATCAATACAAGTTTTCAGAATGTTGTTTCCACAGTAAATAAAATTTCAGTTGTTTAGAGATGTTGAAGGCATTGCGATCTTTAAGGTGGCTCAGAAATGGCCATGTCGTGTTTTATTTGGTGATGTAAAAGTACCATGGGGGAGTACAGAATGTAAAATCCCAAATCATTTTTATAAATGGTGAATGGGCATGCGCCAACACCAATACCAAGAAACGCAAACAGAACAAATATTGGACAGAATACAATTATTTGCTACACAGCATAGCTCAAATGTTTTGTCATAATGTCATCAACATCATTGTTCCGGTCTGCTAGAGGAGAATTGGGCTGTCGCCTCTCTGCTTCAAGGCTATCCTATCCTCTGCAGCTGATGCCGCCTCTGCCCAAGATTTTAATCCTTTCTCCTTAAGCTCCCTTTCCACTGTTTTCTCTTTGTTCCAATGTGCGATGTAATTATACTCTATGGTGTCCATCTTTTTCAAGGCCAAAGCACGACAACTGGTGGATCAAGGAATAACAGTGATCCCTGTCATCATCGGAGATGAAGTCAACAAGGAACATGTTGAACCGGTAACTGACGATGAAGACCGCATTGTTCCAGTCAAACCAACTGATAAACCCAAAGATGTGACGGATACTGTTGATGAGCAGATCAAAAAGGCTATCAAAGGTAAATTGCATGATATATCATGATGAGCTCCAGAACGTTACGCTGTGTACCCCTTCCCCGCCCCCCCCCCGGAAAGGAAAAGATAATTATTTGGGTTACACCTGTCCACTAGATGGTGATCTATCCGGAGGCTCTGCCATCTGCGATGGACACAAACGCACCATGCAAGCCAAATATGTATCGAAGGTTTGACAATTTGTATAAAAAACCAGAGTGGTGACCTGTTATCGCCCTAGTATGTTGCCTTGCCGAAGATTGAATTCATCAAAATTATCAACTTTATGTATATTGTCTTGAATGATTTGCTACCAAAAGCTCAAAGCTACTTTACATGAAATGTATAATTATGAAAAATCTGCGCTCAAGACAATGTGGCCCAAACTTCCAGAACCTCTCCCTGTTTCTGTCGCATGAAGTGACTAGATGTATTGCCATTGTAGCCCATCCCTCTGCATTGCATCGGTTAACCCTAACACTTCGCTAGTACGGACTTGTGCATATGAGTCGAGAGACGTATAGTAAAAGTTAAGCGCGTTGTCCCGGTAGTAGAAAGCAATGACCATGAACTGGTATCCCTCGATGCGGAATCTAACGTCCTGACCACCGCGTTTTCACGTGATGTCAGGAGAGAGAATTAATTTTTTGGGGGTTTCTTATTTCACAGATCCTTCACGACTGGTTCAAATCAACCTTGGCTTTGCGATAAGTGTCACCTCCTTAGATTCGGACAGAACCTTCAGGCAAATGCAAGATATCATCAAGTCCGTTGTGGACAATTACCCAACATCCAACATTTTCTACAGTGTTCTATCTTTTGGAGACCCTCCCATTGTTCATATTAATTTTGACGACCAGCTGTCAGATGAGGATAAAAAACGAACCATTGACTCCATCACCAAGACAACTGGGATAGCATCGCTTGATAAAGCATTGGAAAAAGCGCGAGATCTCTTCAATGCGGCCTCCACCCAGAGACCAACGGCTAAGAATATACTTGTGGTAATGGTTGACGGCAAGTCTGATAGCAAGCTAGATGATGTCAAGGCGTCGTCAAGGTTATTACAGGCTGATCGCGTCAAAGTGATTGTTGTTGGTGTTGGTGATGAAGTGGATAAACCGGAAATAGATGTTGTAACTGAAACTACAGTTCTTACCAATACCACTGACAATCCAGATTCCGTGGCTGAGGTGATTATTATAACTATTGACAAAGGTAAGGAGTACATTACTTCTTTTTTTTCCATGGGTTTGATTTTATATTGTCAAGTAAATTACAGTCAAACGGGATTCCTGTAGGGCGATCTTTAAACAAAAGCTCGACTGGGCTGATAATACATGTTATTGAAAGTTGCACTTGAGCGTTTTCAATTGAGTGTCGAAAGTTATCAGGCAATTACTCAAGTTTTAATTTTGGTTTTATTGTGGTTTGAGATTGGCTGAGTAGTCTAATTGGTAAGTAATTGGTTTGGTTTTGGTTTTACGACACTCAATTGAAAACCGCTCCAAGTAACGTTTAGTGCTGAATAGTTCAAATGAATGTATTCCAGTCGTTCATAATGTGTTACAATAGTTGTCTGTGTAAGGCCTGACTCTGGTGCTCTTATAATATTCGTGTATTGTATTGCAGATACTCGAGATATCCCTGACATCGACTTCGTCTTTGCTCTGAGTGCGGCTGCTGTTGATGCTGAGGACACCTTTGACAAGATAATAGACACAGTGGATGCCATAATCAAGCATTATGGAACAGACAAGTTCCGCTACGCTTTGATGACATTTGGTGACACGCCTTCCGTTGTCGTTGACTTCAGTGATGGCCGCGGCAAAGAAGCACTGAGGGCCACTGTGCAACAACTCAGACGTCCTACTGGCGAGCCAGACGTGGTGAAAGCCTTGAAAGAAGCTGAGAAGCTGTTTGACAATGCTCCTCCCAGACCAGGCAGCCGGAAAATTGTTGTCATTTTTGTAGACAAAAAGACTGCCAATACCCGCGACGACCTGAAGGAAGTTGCCGAATCGTTAATTGAGAAGAATGTGACAATTGTACCGGCAGTGATTGGTCCAGAAGTTTATATTGATGACATAGAGGTCATAATTACGAACAAAGAGTACATTGCCACTTGTGAACCTATTGAACCTCAAACATGGCCGGAAATAATAATTGACAAGTCTCTAAAAGGTGAGTCACTGATGTAAACAACCCGAAGATGACTTGGGGAATGATGCTGACAATGACGACAACAGTGACGATGACAATTATTATTCTCTTTTAGCAGTGTTGAGTATCCCCTTAATTCGTAAAATATCTTTCTCTTTTACAGAGCTACCAGAGATTCCAAAGCTTGACCTAGGCTTTGCAATAAGCACCGGTTCTTTAGATGCGGAAGAGAACTTGCAAACGATCAAGGACACCATCAAATCAGTGATCGATCGTTATGGCAAGACTGACATTCGATACAGTTTCATTTTGTTTGGCGATGAACCCTCCGAGAGAGTTCGGTTTACGGAGAGTGAGCGTTTCACCATCGAGATCCTAAAGGATAGGGTTGACAGACTCGCTCGTATCTCTGGTGCATCTCTGGACAAAGCCCTTGACAAAGCAAAGAAGATGTTCGAGGATACAGCCAGACAGGACGCGAAAAAGGTGTTAGTTGTCATCATGGACCAGAAACAGTCAGGTGATCGTGACAAGACGAAGGAGAAGGCAAGAGAACTGAAAAATGCTGGAGTGAAAGTTGTGCCTGTGGTGCTTGGTGAAGAAGCGAGTGAAGAGGAACTTGAAGAAATCACACGGAACAAAAATAACTTGGTTGAGATGGATACAGATGAGAATCCTGACAAAGCTGCGGAGAAAATTATGATTAAAGTGCTTGAAGGTAATTTTGGGTTGGGCTTAAAAATGCTATAAGGATTATACTTTAGCGTAAAATAGCAATAATGCAAGTTCGGGAATATTGGTGTATTTGGACACGATCACAACATTTTATCCTTTAAATAGTATAGACTTTAGGTAATGCCGAAAATTGAACACATTGAGTGCGGAACTTTGTGCGAGCGAATTAACCTCACGTGAAGATCTAACAAGGTGCTGTTTTCAAGGAATCCCTTGGTAACAGCGTGACGCTGAAACATTTAAATCTAAAATGGGCGGGTATTATATTAATTTCATGGTTCACACCCTGATATCGTTTAAGGCAAAGAATGAGACGACGAGTTCAAGTTTTCGCTTGTCAGTGAAATGCAGCTTTTAGTGTTCTTTGCGTCATTGGACTCATTAGCAGTGTCTTTTTTTAATTTCTAGATACGCCTGATGAAGAGGAGATGCTAGATATTGCATTTGCCCTCAGTGCAAGAGCCTTAAAATCAGACGATAACTTCATGAAGATGAAATCTGTTATAACTGAGATCCTCGGCACTTATGGCTCGTCCACTGTTCGGTATAGCGTCATCAAATTTGGCAAAGAACCAAATGTAGAACTTGATTTTGGAGACGAGAGCGATCCTGAGGAATTAAGACAGATCTTACAGCGTATTACAAAGAATGACGAGGGAGCAGATTTGGGCAGGGCGCTTCGAAAAGCTAGAGAGCTGTTCCAAGTGGCAGCGTTAACGCGTCCAGATGCTAAAAGGATCCTAGTGGTTGCCATGGACAAGATGTCAGACAGTGATGAAATTACAGTGTCGGTTGCTGCTCGATCACTGCAGCATGATGGGATCCGAGTGATTGCGGTCACGTTTGGAAAAGAAGCTGACCCGCAGGAAATGACAGAGGCAAGCTTAAACGTTAACAATGTCATTGAGACTAATGACACCGCAAGTACGAAGGAAATTGCCGCTGAAGTGATGGAAAAGGCTAACAATGGTAAGAATACTCACTGTTGAACAGCTTGGACACTGTCAAGGAAAAATAAAACTCAAGGAATTCGGAAGGTTCACGTTTTTCTCATGAATATTTCCTTTTTGCTTTTTTGTTCTTTAGCCTTTGAATTTTTTCATCTTGTAGACGCCCATACATTTGTAGTGGAACTCTGCGCCACTAATACGGCTCTTTTTGGCCCGAAGAAATCGCATGTAAAACACATTTTCGCGATGCTAAGCTGGTCGTATCAACGGGTTCTAATATATGATTGGGTTTATGAAAACCGTGTCGATACTTTGCACGTGGATTTCACAACAACAACAACACCAAAAGTAGAGAAGAGCAAGAAAAGGAAGATAAGAGAGTAGAGAAGAAAAAAAGACTGACATTCCTTTTAATTTTTTTTGTCATCCCCTTTGTCGCTGGCGAGGAAAAAACGATCGAGCATTTCTGTTTTCAGAAATCCGGACATACGTATTTCAGAATTAACGTTCACATCTCTTTTAAAATAATACTACTATTTATTACGACAAAGACGTTTTACAAGAGACAACTATATTGATACCATATTATCGTGTTACTTACTTTCCATCCAGATTCAATGCCGCTCCTCGATGTTGACCTTGGATTTGCAATCAGTGTGACAGACAGCGGGGCTGAGCAGACGTACGAAAACATGAAAAATGTTATGAAACATATTGTGGATACGTACGGACTTGCCAGTATTAGATATGGTGTCCTCATGTTTGGTAACTCAGCCAACACATATATACCTTTCTCACAAACGTTCCCTGACAAAATGGCGCTGACGATACTTCTCGATTCATTCCCTCCACTCCGAGGTGGACCAGACCTGCGGAAGGCATTAGAAGAAGCGAAGACATTGTTTGATCAAGCAACAGCCCGGCCTGATGCTAAAAAGGTCCTTGCTGTGATACTTGACAACAAATCCATCAATAATGACAGCGACATCGAGGAAGCAGCTAAGGTTTTGGAAGATGACGATATTCAAGTCGTGCCTGTTGGTGTTGGTTCAAATGTTGACGACGAGGAACTTGAAACTATGACAAGTAACAAGCAAAATATCATCAAAACTGACAAGGAGGGTGATCCATCAGGTGTGGGTGAAGAAATCATACAGAAAATCCGAGAAGGTGAGAAGTTCTTGTTGTTGTTGTAGTTGTTGTTCTTCTTCTTTTACTTCCTCGTCTTTTTCTTCTTCTTCCTGTTCCTTTGTTGTTCTCTTTCATGTGTCCTTTGTCCGTTTCGGTTCTTTTCCTGTCGACCTATCAGTCTAGATAAAACAACCGTAACTAGCACTAAGACACCCTCGAAATAGGACTAGAATGTAAAATAATAGAAATACATACCATGCAGGTCAGTTCCAAGCTTTATTGGCTAAATTGATACGCATGTTCTTGTCCCTTTAGATCCCCCTGCCATTCCAGAATTGGACCTTCTTTTCGCCCTTAGTGCCAACGCCTTGAAAGAGAGAGAGAATTTCCAACAAATGAAGGATATAATCAAGAGCATGATTGATCGATATGGAACATCTAGTATTCAGTATGCTGTCATTACGTTTGGAAATGTTCCCATTACCAGAATCTCGTTTAATACAGCTTTCTCAGACGACGAAGCATTGCAGAGTTTAGTAGATTCTGTGCGGAAGAGCTCTGGAGCATTATTAGACAGTGCCCTCGCGGAAGCGAAAAATTTCTTTGAAACACAGGGTCGCTCTAATGCCAAGAAAGTCCTGGTGATAATTACTGATAAGAAATCCAGCAGTTCTCTAAACAACGTGGAGAATCAAGCGAAGTTCCTGGAGGAGGATGACATTAAAGTTATTCCCGTCGCACTTGGATCAGAATCAGACATTTCTGAGCTATCTAAAACCACACCAAACAAAGAGAACCTGGTCGATGTTGACGAAGGCGATGATCCCGACATGACTGCTGAGATAATTTTGTTGAAGGTTTTGAAAGGTAACAATGGTTTATAATAATTGTGATAAGCCGCCTCACACTTGGTGCCCAGGAACCCGCAAAGCGTTTCAGGTTGTTTAGGCTGTCCAGCATCGAATCCCTGTAACATGTCATTTTCTTGTCCAAAGTAGCTCATCCTGCCAAGAAAGTAGAATGTATACGGTTTATTGTCGGTATGAAAGGACAATACACATCACCGAAGCTTGTGTAGGAAGGTTTGTGTTAAGATATCGTTTATCGTTAATCGTTGAAGTTGTGGTGGAGAACGGTTTCAATATCAAAAGCAAAGTTACCTTCGATTTAAAAACTGTTAAGCACCGGAGATATAAAATCCAGGTTATAACGGGCGTTACCTCGGAGATTACGTTAAAATATCATTATTTTATACCGGGGCACCCACGTTCGAGATATAGCGTGCTATATTTGATTTTAATTTTAATGCTTCCATTTTATTTCGTTCTCGTTTTGCTCCGTTTAGATGTCCCCAAGATACCAGAGATGAATTTAGCATTTGCTATCAGTGCCAGAGCGGTAGATGACGAGACAAACTTCGAAAAGATGAAAGACATTCTTAAGGCGATTGTACAAAAGTTTGGTTCAAACCGAATTCACTACAGTGTGATCACGTTTGGTGATTCACCAATCACTGAGCTGCCATTCAATCGCCGGCTGCCCTCTGATGAGGATTTGGAACGATTCATCGGTAAGTGCTGAGAAACTACAGGAATTGATGTTTCCCCATGGCCCTTTCTGAGATAGTCAGCGAGCACTTTTGTTATGAGAGGAATGATGAATCCCAAGCTTTATGGTGCGACTAAGACGCTTGGAAAATTTGAATGAGTTTATGAATGCATTCTATGCTCTAGAACGTTTTTCAAACTTGTCTCAAACAGTGTTTCCAAATTATTTCTGCAAGTTATGATTTCCCGTTTCAACTTTGTAGTTGTTATCTATCCTCAGAGTGAGTTGCTGTCATTTGTTGAGTTTTCTTGTACACTGCCAAACTAGCAAAATCCTCAGAATCATACCCCAGTCATAAGTTAAACAAGCCCTGAAAGCTGACTTTGTTAATGAAAACGGAAAATCATTTGATACTTTCAGGCTCCATTTCAAAGAACAGACGTGGTGCAGCATTAGGTGAGGTTCTGAGAGAGGCTACCAAGCTTTTTAACGATGCCGCTAAGGTTCGCCCCGATGCAAAGAACGTCTTAGTCGTTATAACAGACAAGAAGTCCGATAGCAGAGGAGAAGATTTGAAGAAGGAGGCTATGAAAATGCGGCCCGATGATATCAAGGTTATTGCTGTTGCTCTCGGAGAAGAGTCAGACAAGGATGAGCTTGATATTTTGACTCCTGAACAGGGTGAGGTCATCGAAGCTAACAGCACTGATGGTGCAAAGAAAACTGCTGAGGAAATCATGAACAAAGCTCTCGAAGGTAAGATCTGATAAATTGGAATTAATAAAAGAAAACTATGGGAATCTAAATGTCACGTCAACTAGTTATCCTGAATAGCATATCCAAATTATGTTCATCATTTGGAGAATGGGGGTAAAATCGTCTAAAATGCCGCATTTGTCTCTTATCAGCCTTTATGTTACTCTCCTTCTCTCGCTTAAGAGATGCTAATGACAGTGTTTTGGTAGTATGAAACACAGCATTCCTGAGCCAGTTATAGTTAACCAAGAAAACGTTTCTTAATGCGTTTTAAAGGAATGTTGTTAGTATAGGTAATCATACGGTTTCGAGTTCAATTTGGAATTAATTTGCACGAGTGAGTTTTTAAGAAACGTTTTCTTCCATAACTGTGTCGTCGACGCCACTGCCCAACTAAATAAATCGTCATTTTCTAGCACTACGTTTATATAAATTATCTATGATTTATATTTTACGTTATATAAAGGAAAACATGGTACATCTTTTACTTCCTCTAATGCACGATATGTAAGCTGAAATTATCAAGACTTCCTTTGCCACTTAAATGAAGCTCATTTTCGGATTTTTTACTTTATCAGTATTAACGGAATCTTTGTTTTCTTTTAGATTATCCAGATGTACCCGAGATTGATATCACTTTTGCCATCAACACCGCTGCTACCGATGCAGAAAAGACCTTCGAAGTACTGAGAGATGCTGTAAAGAGCATCATAAACATGCACAATCCTGATCGAATACGTTACAGCATCGTTATTTATGGCGACTCTGCAACACCTGTTGTATCATTCTCAAAAGATCCTCAAGACGTTCGGAAACTCCTTAAGGCTGCCGACAAACTACCACAACCCTCGGGACTACCCGATCTCAAGGCGCTTTTAGAAGAAGCCAAGAAGGTTTTCGAGAAGGATTCGGGCAGGCCTAAGGCAAACAAAGTTCTGGTTGTGGTAACTGATGCTAAATCGCCTTCGACGTCAGATGATATTAAAGAAGCAGCTAGACCGCTGGAAGACGAAGGAATAACAGTCATTGCAGTGGCCGTAGGAGATGAAGCAAACTCCAAGCAGTTGGAGAAAATGATCCCCGACAAGCAGACTCCACTGAGTGTAGACAAAGATGAAGACCCAGCTGACATAGGGGATAAAATTATGGACAAGGTATTGGAAGGTAAGTACAACTTTAAAACTCTAAACAGCAGTGGTTTGAAGAAGGCAGATAGTGCACGGGTTAGCGGAAGCACATGGAAACGTTCAAAATGTAACTTGGTCTTACAGTCTGTTTATTGTGCCGTGAAATAGCCTCGTGCAAATTTATGAAACATCCAATTCAATTCTTCAGGCACATGGAATATAATCGGTTTTGACTTGATATGGACTAGGTTACAATTAAGCAATGGTGTGTTTTCTTCTTCTTTTCAATTCCTGATTTTGCTGTGCTGCACAAAGGGGTTTTGACGATTCTGTTGCGCATGATCAAACGAATTATGACTAGCCCTGTTAACGAAACCCAAATGAGCGCCATTACACTGAGTTTTACTGTTTACTTTCAGCTATACCCCAGCTACAGGATTTAGATTTGGCATTTGCGATAAGTGCAAACGCTGCCTTGGATTCAAGTGAAAACTTCAGAAAGATGAAAGACATCATTGACTGGGTCATTAACAAATACGGTGTGGGTACAATCCAATATGGCGTCGTTGTGTTCGGAAACACACCTTCTGTTAAAGTGACTTTTACGCAGCCTGTTAATGACGACCAGCTGAAAGCTATCCTGCAAAGCGCAGCCAAGAATCGAGCAGGATCAAACCTGGAAAGAGCACTCGATGAAGTTCAAAGGCTTTTTGATTCTTCCCCTCGTCCAGATGCTAAAAGGGTGTTGGTGCTCGTCACGGACAAAAGGTCTGACAGCAGCCTTGAAGACGTGGAGACGTCAGCCGAGGCTCTCTGGAGTTCTCGCATCAAAGTAGTTCCAGTTGCCTTTGGGCGGGAGGCGGCACCTGATGAGGTTAAGGCTACCACATCCGATGAAGACAACTTGATAGACGTTAAGAACACTAACAATCCTGATGACGTGGCTAAGGACATTATGGAGAAAGTTTTAGAAGGTCAGTGAGGCTTTTGTTACTTTAAATGTCAGTGACATTGATGGGTTAAGATGCAAGGAATGATAGAAATGGGTAACATATAGTCAACAACTGTCTCTCTTGCGTAAGCGTCTTTTCTAAATTGGTAAAACGTTATAAGTGGCGCATCCAGGTATGCTCAAGAGAGGAGGATGGGGTTGGTAGGGTGTGACGGGGGGAAGGTCGTCCTTTTATTGCTTAATAAGTGTGGAAGAATTTCTTCTAATTTCGTTAATTTAATTTCAAAGAAGTGCATTTGTGGACATAAAATAAAAACTGACCAGAGGTACAGAGGATGGCACCTTGGAAAACTGAACCACGACATTTTGTTGCAAAACATCATCTACTTTTTGGAAATGTTGATTCTCCTGTTTAATTTTTTATCTTCATGATTTTATTCTCTAGATTTCAATGTGCCGAAAATGGATGTCGCGTTTGCTATCAGCGCCACAGCCTTCCAATCAGATGCCAACTTCAAGAAAATGCAAGACACAATCAAAGAATTTGTCGATAGATTGGGCGTCCATGGCAAAGTGCATTATGCCTTGTTAACATTTGGAGACCCTCCAACAACACATCTGCAATTTGGTGATAAATCGGCCAGTTTGACTGCTTTAAAAGACTTGATTGAAAAAGTTCCTATGCCATCGAAAGAAGCTGCACTGGATAAAGCTCTTAGCACTGCCAAGATGTTGTTCATCCCTGCCGCCGGTGGAAGGGTGGATGCGAAAAAAATCTTAGTGATTATGACCGATAGAGAGTCAGATAGCAGCAGCGAGGATGCCATGAAATCTTCCAAACAGGTGACGGATGAAGGAATACGAGTGATTGCAGTTCCTTTGGGTGATGAGGACAATGTGAATGAAGTGAAGACAATCGTGTCGATCAAAGAAGATGTTATCAAACCAAACATAACTGATGAACCACGAGACATCGCAGATAAGATCATTGATACCATACTTGATGGTGAGTTGTGATTAATGTAGTTAACACAAGTAATTTTGTACCCACTTCAATACCAGTGCTCCTTTCCGTCATGAGATAACAATCAAACCCTCACCTTTGTACATATGTTTACAATATTCCAGAAATTTCACTTATGCTCTTATATCTTTCAGACAATCTTCGAGTTCCACAGATTGATCTAGGATTTGCTATCAGTGCCACAGCTGTGTCAGCCTCAGACACCTTTGAGCGCATTAAGGACACTATTACTGCAATCGTTGACGAGTATGGAATCACTGATAGGCTCCGTTATGGCCTCATCGTGTTTGGTAGAAACGCACTTCAGAAATTAAGCTTCGGCGAAGAATCTGACATGAACTCTTTGAAGGCTAAAATAAAGTCATCTCAACGTCTTGGGGGGGAACCTAACTTGCAGAAAGCTTTAGAAGAAGCCAAACGATTGTTTGACTCGGAGTCAGCTGGACCTGATGTGAAAAAAGTTCTGGTTGTTATTACTGACAAGAAATCCACGAGTCGCCCTGAAGATGTGAAGAAGGCTGTAGTGCCTCTAGAGGAGGGAGGGGTTAAAATTGTACCCGTCGCTGTCGGTTCGTCAGCCGATCCCAGCGAGTTGGAAGTGATCACATCCAATAGAGGATACATCATAGTGACACAGCGAAAGCTTGATCCTGATGTAACTGCTGAAAAGATCATGGAGAAAGTGTTGAAAGGTATCACAATTTCTTCTTACAATTTTTGATGTGAAATATCATACGCGAAAGACCGTGTTTGACCACATTTCCAAACACCGAGAAGAGAGTTGAAAATACAACGCGTAGCGGAGTACTTTTGACGAACGTCGAGGTGTTTGGATATCTGGTCAAACACTGTCTTGAGTGTTTGATATATCTTCTCAATCCAAACTAAAACTAAAGAGAAAAGGTATACATAAATCGTAAAAATCTATGCCAATTAAAGTGCCACTATGATCAAATTCTCCATACCCATTTTTTTACATTTTCGCACACAATAGGTCTTTCCTAGATTGTTTGCCAAATTTCAATCTATT